GACCTCCCTCTCCCCAGCCACCTCCTCCAGCTTATCCGGGGGAATACCAAGGCGTTCCCAGGCCAGCCGAGAGATATAATCTCTCCAGCGTGTCCTGGGTCTGCCCCGGGGCCTCCTCCCGGTGGGACATGCCTGGAACACCTCACCCAGGAGGCGCCCAGGGGGCATCCTTGTCAGATGCCCGAACCACCTCAGCTGGCTCCTTTCGATGTGGAGCAGCAGCTGCTCTACTCTGAGCCCCTCCCGGATGGCCGAACTTCTCACCCTATCTCTAAGGGAGAGGCCAGCCACCCTTCGGAGGAAGCTCATTTCTGCCGCTTGTATCCGCGATCTCGTTCTTTCGGTCACTACCCACAGCTCGTGGCCATAGGTGAGGGTAGGGACGTAGATCGACCGGTAAATTGAGAGCTTCGCTTTTACACTCAGCTCCCTCTTCACCACGACGGACCGGTGCAACGTCCGCATTACTGCAGCTGCAGCCCCAATCCGTCTGTCGATCTCCGGCTCCCTTCTCCCATCACTGGCAAACAAGACCCCGAGATACTTGAACTCCTCCACTTGGGGCAGGAACTCATCCTCGACCCGGAGTGGGCACTCCACCCTTTTCCGGCTGAGAACCATGGCCTCAGATTTGGAGGTGCTGATCCTCATTCCCGCTGCTTCACACTCGGCTGCGAACCGTTCCAGTGCGAGCTGGAGGCCCTCACCCGATGAAGCCAACAGAACCACATCATCTGCAAAAATCAGAGAATGAGATTCTGAGGCCACCAAAGCGAAAGCCCTCCGCCACTTGGCTGCGCCTAGAAATCCTGTCCATAAAAATTATGAACAGAACCGGAGACAAAGGGCAGCCCTGGCGGAGCCCATCACCCACCGGGAACGAGTCCGACTTATTGCCGGCAATGCGAACCAAGCTCTTGCAATGGTTGTATAGGGATCGAATGGCCCGTAGCAATGGGCCAGACACCCCATATTCCCGCAACACCTCCCACAGGACACCCCGAGGGACACGGTCGAATGCCTTCTCCAAGTCCACGAAACACATGTAGACTGGTTGGGCAAACTCCCATGCACCCTCAAGTATCCTGGAGAGGATAAAGAGCTGGTCCAGTGTTCCGCGACCAGGACGAAAACCGCATTGTTCCTCCTGTATCCGAGGTTCGACTAACCATACGTTCAAATTTTAAGGACCAGTTCTAGCTCTTGTGTGTAGACAGCGTTACTGACTTACTTGCAGCTGAGACAGAGAGCTGAGCAGGTGAAGTATTCATCTGGGAAGAAGGAGTACAGTGTCATCTTTTCATCTGATAGTTCTCCACAGAAACGCTCACTCAGAGCCTTGTTGAAACAAAAACAGAAGGGATTAGAAGACAGAGAACTAGATGGGAGCTGAAAAAAGGCTGAGGAGACACAAAGGAAGGATTAAAAAGAATCATATGCTTTTTCTTAAAAGGCCTCTAATATGGTGCTTCTTCACTTACTTCTAGTGCATGAAACACTATCCCAGGCTGGCGGGGGGACCGTGTATGAGTGTTCTTCACTTGCTGCTTGATGGCCTCTAGCAGCCCGCTATAGTCTGTGGGCGGTGTGATCGTCTGAGTGCCTACGTACTGCACTGAGCTGAAGGCCTCTGTCCCCAAACCCAGGTCATGAAAACGCTTCTGGAGGAGTGTGTCTGCATAGCCGGCCATCTTTGAGTCTACAACAGGAAGGAAAGACAATAACATTGAAATCTGTGACACAGGAAATTACAACCAAGGGAAATAATTATCCTAAAGTTCTGCTTGGAAGTACCTTGGCCCAGGAGTTGCGTGTGTGTTGTTTCCTGGAAGATGATGACTGCAGGCCCCAAAGAGGACAGGGGTACATCCAGACCACAGCGGGTGGACAGGGCCCTTAGCTCTGGGGTGAAATGCTTCAGGTATGCCCCTGAGGCACTACTCAGGAACTGGAACATGTCATTGTGAAGACGCTCTGCCCGTGTGCGATACACCACTATATCCGACACTGCCAGCACCTGAAATTGAAATAAAAATGTATCTGGAAATAAGATGACTTGCTTATATCATGAAAACATTGGAAATGAGAAATAAAGTGAGTTTCACTGTTCTGTTTACATGATTAGGATGTGACCATTACCTCAGCAGAACAAGCAAAGAAGACAATACTAGAAGTCAGCACACAAAATCACAGACTCCTCCAATTATTCCACCCAAACCAAGCAGCAACCGCTAAATTTACCTTCAGCAGCAGCCGCATTCTCTGGTTCTGATTGGCTGCGGCTCCCAAGAGGCCCTCTGTATCCAGCGCAATGAGGCTGAGAGTGGGGTTGTAAGCAGCCCAAACTCCCACAGTACAGGAGCTGGGGGACTTGGAGGTGTAGAAAACAGTCTCGCCATCAAACAGGACGTGGTTAAGCGTGTGGGACTTGCCATCACCGGTGTTTCCAAAGATGGAGAGGACCTTGACGCCCGCTACGTCGGCACAGCCAAGTCGCTCCACGAACTCTGCCTCATCCCGGACCTATAGGATAAGAGGAGAAAGAGCACCAAGAGACAGGCTGGTTACAGAGATGAGCTATTTTGTGGCACCGTGATACAATTGGGCAAATTACTTTTACTGATTCTTTATGAACGGTATTATTTATTTTAAACAAAGAAACCAAAAACAAAACAAAAAAAGAACTGCGGGGGATTAGTCACTTCAATCTTAACGCTGGTTGTTCATACAGATTACCTTAAGTACACAAGAAAACATTATCTCTTGTACTTTGTAACACTGTGAGGGTGCCTTCCATGTGGGTCAACTGTGCTGTATGACTCACCAGGGACTTTCCTAATAGCAACCCTGTCTGCTGTTGTGCTGCTCTTATTTACAACTTAAATTTAATGTTTTTTCACAGTATTATAAGCAAGACACCATCCACACGTTAAAGCCACGGGCTGTATACAGACAAAGGCTAAAAAGACAAGAGGCTAAACACGACGAACATCCAAACACGCTGTTTAACGTCGCATTAGCAAAGCGTCGTGAAGTAGCTAAAGCCTCAACAAACTTGCTTTATTAGCTTCAAGACAAAAAGATCGATTTAGCGCTGAAAGCAGATTTGGCTCATCCAACATTTTTTTCTTTTCGTGACAAAAGATAGTTAAGGGCCTTCCGTAACAGGAGTCTTCCCCTTTCTAGCCTAGCGGCTAACTGTTAGCCGCCGTTAGCTCAGCTGATGTTAGCTAACTTTACCTGCAGGTTTTCTTGCTCGTCCACGAGCAGGAAGCTCCGGCCGCCGCCGTTGGGACGGTCCTCTGGCTTCAATGGACTGATCGACAAACTATCCATTTCTTTCATCAGTATATCGGACATCGTTGTTCACTTAATTGAAACGCATTTGTGGCAGCAGCACCAAAGAGCAAAGCGAAAGTTTAACATGACGCCTACCTGTCGGTCAATCACAACAACAGCGCGTGGACTGTAGGAGGAGCCAGATGGGGCCACGCAGGGCAGCAACGTAAGACGCGCTTGTTTGACTTTGGTCTAAACATGAGCACCACCGTGTGGTCAGCCGCAATACAGCACCTCACATGCCATTCAACAAACTTCCTTCATCAGGGAATGAGAAAGCATAAAATAAAACCGAGTGGACCCATGTGACCGGTCTTTTGTGGCCCCTAATATATATTATTATTATATTTTTTTCTTATTTAGGATTAATGATGTGAACCAAACACAAATAACGTTCATCTAACATTTCTTGCTACGTTAATACAAAATAACACATTTATTATTCTTCACAACTAAAGAATAACGCACAAAATCAAAGTTTCCTTAACTGACAGAGAGTATTTTATCGGAGCGGTGCTTCCATGCTAGAGCTGCTTGCTAATGTTCATTAAATATTTGTTAGCACAGATCTATAAATATCACATGTCACTGGCTTCAGAGCGGCGCCACTGCTGCTAACATGACATGGAGAAAGAAATTCCAGCATTGCTGCTCTAACGGCTCTGAGTCCTTCCTTCCTTCCTCCCTCATCTCCTCCCTCCCTTCCTTCCAATGTCTAGGGAGTGGAAAATGCCAGCCCAGGCTTTGGCATAGTCGCTTTAACACCCTTGTCTCTAGCCTGAGTCAAATAAAATCGCCACCTGGGACAGATCCAGCAAAAGATGTAGTAAGGGCAAGAAAACGAGCGAGAGGGGGAAGGATGCAATAAAGGATGGCGTGGTTAAGGATTTAGAGAGGGTCCCGGCCTTTCTCCGGGCTCAACTATGAGAGACAAATGTCTGAAAGAATCAATTATAGGCCTACTCCCAACCCATCACCCCTGATTAATGAATAATTAAAGCTTCTCATTGCAGGGCTATCTAACATCCATGAGGCCATGAAGCCGCTAAGATTACGCAGAAACAACTTCTCTTGATTTTCAACAAATGACTATACAGACCTGTCCTCAGTTTCCTTAACAAAACAGGTAAACATCTTTGTATGCAGTTTGTGCTTTTTGCTACTCGAGTATCCAGTTATTCCCTTTACAGTGCATTTAATATGATATCTGACCCAAATTTGCACCCATATCCACAATCATACCTCTGTAAACAAACACAATTTAGTGTTTAGCTGCTATAAGAGCCAGAGTCATCATCATCACCCAGACAAGGGAACGATGCTTATAGGAGAGACTGACAGAAAGTCCTGCAACCCAACCTCAACATAACTGTGGTGGATTTTCTTCTTCTTCTTTCTTTTCTATAAATTCGGATGGGGGGTATGGGGGGCATTGCCCTAACAAGTCCGAGGCGGGACCGTGGTCCACTTAAACCGCTACCCCCGCTGGAACTTGTAGTACTGTGCTCCTCGGCGCGTCTCATGTTGACATGCATAAAAACTACACTTCCCCAAAGCTGTCACAGAGCGCTCCCGCCTCCCATTGGCTGGCCGCTCCAGCCGCAGCCCCAGAGAATGAATGAAATTGAAATAGCTGCTACATTACATGTACAATACCGGGCTCTGCAGTGTTGCATTCTATCATACTATATCAAAATGGCCACAGCGGTACAGAACCCCCTCAAATCGTAAGTACAACACGTTTCCTGAGTGTTTGCGCTTTTTTCGGTCATTGTGCATGCTGTCACTGTCAATTTAAGCCCCTCAATTTCCCACATATTTCCCCAGCATGATTACCAACGCGTCTATATGCATGCAGTGCATACAGCGGAGAATGAGATAACGTCAGGAGAGGCGAATCAGCCCCGGAGAAAAGTTAGATTTAAAGCTGATGGAGGTTTCTGGGAGGTTTTTTCGGGCATGAGTGGTGGGGGGATTATTGCGCGCTCCGATGCAATTCATATAATCATTTCTCTGAGCCGACAGCAGCGTGTGTGCAGGGATATGGAGGAATGCTGGAGGTAGATTTGGGTGACCCGGTATGTCCCTTGCCAGTGTAGCCAGCCAAGATCACGGCCAAAGCCGGGCTGGAGTGGCAAGGCTGTCCGGGAGGAAGGGGGATGGTTTAGATGGCTTTACAGTACCTGTGTGTATATTTTGTTGAAGGGGGGCTGAGAGGAGGTAAACAAGTAGACTGAACGAAGTGCTCCGTTCCCGGGTTTTTAGGCTGCAGCGTTACCTTTACCGCCGGACCTCTTGGAAACGTATAGTGCGAGGTAAATAACGCTCCTCGAAGACTTGCTTTCATCTTCGGCGCTTAGAATAAAGCCTGGAATCCAACCCAAAGCCCGGCGCTTTACATTTAGTGCAGCTACATCACAGCGGACATTTATCTCCACTGACAGACGTTAAAGCGGCGGGTTTCCCCGTGAAGTTTCTTCCGCGATGATCCCCTTTGTGCAGTTTTTTTTTGGGTGGTGGGGGTGGTGGGAGTGGAATGTCTTTTTTTTGTTTTTTTGTTTTTTGTTCTGAGACTGGTTTCAGCGGAATGCAGACGCCTGCTGCCCGCCTCAGCTCCCGGCCAAAAAGGTGGCTGATGTGCGTCTGTCAGCGGGTACGCACGTTCAGCCAAAAAAACAAAAAAAACAATAGCTCGAGTACCTTGGAGTGTTTGAGCATACAAACGCTCCAGCTCAGGCAGTTTGAAACAAAGAAAAGTCACAAGACCTATGTGCCAAAGGAAGGAGGGAGGGGGGGAGGCACATCGGATGCTGTGCAGGTTTTTACCTGAGCAGGGAGATGGGATATAGTGTCTGTCTGTCAGCTTCTCCGAGAGGCGACATTTCGCGCATTTCCATGAACGACTGCCCTGTACGTGCCTGCTGTGAAAAGCTCCTCACAGGGGAGAGGGAACTGGATTTGTAACGGTGCTGATTGGTCAGCAAGCCCTGATTGACTGTGATGGTATTTTGGGGGTGTTTTGGTTCAAAGTACTTGAACTACAACGCAACGCAGGGACCACAGATATAACGCAAACACGCAGGAGATGAATCATTTATTTTTGGTTTGTATATGCTCTAAAGGGCAGGTATGTGGCAATGCCGATGACGGGACGAGAATGGATGGGTGGAAAAGGATGAAGGCTCCTCTTCTCTCCTCCACAGGATCCAAGCAAAGAAAAAGTGTGTCCAGATTGTTCCCAGAGGCCCTCAGTGGCACCATGTCAGGGGATTAAATTGACTCATTTGCATGGAGTACACACCAAGACACACAAACAGAGAACACAGGGTTTTGGTACAAGGAGGAGAATAGAATGAGGGGTGGGGGGAGTGTACAAAAGACAGCAAAGTAAGTGGTTAGAAAGAGTGACTAATGAACTACAGCCCAATTTTGAGTGGACTTACACTGATTTCTTTTTAAGTGCTTCAAGTTAGACCAGAACCTCCATATTGTTAGCCAGTATCAACCCTGCAGGGATGCTGGATTCCCTTAAAGCACGTGAGAAGAGGACAAAGCTGGATGTATTTATTTATTTATTACACAAGGCCACAGCAATCAAAGCGGCCTTTAATATCTCACCAACTGCATAAATGCCATCATTACGCAGTGTGGGTTTAACTGTGTTCCAGTTACCGCTCTGCAATGGGCTTTTAAACAAGCCCTTGTAATTAGCATGTCTACAAACAAACTTGCTATTAGAGGCTTACAAATTAGGGGCCCATCCAGTAAAATGGGCCAAACAACCAGCAAAATTGGGTTCAAAGTCAGCCCTAATAGGGTGGCTGAGCCCTGCGCGCCTGGAGACGATGCCTGTTGTGCCCATGAATGTCCCCAGACCTTGCTGGATCTCTGCGGCGAATTAGCTTTAATTCAGTGTATATAAATCTTTGGGAAGCTGCTGGTCCCCACTGTCCAGCTGAGTGTGAGCGGGACACTGTGACAGCCAGTCTACGTGAGTGGAGGTATGGTGGAGGGTTGATGTGCAACAGCAAATGAGGGGAGGAGAACACCGAGCTCCATTCAATCTGCTGGGCATTTCCCTACCAGCCCTTCTCCCTGTCTATCACTCTCTCTCTCTCTCTCTCTGCTGGATTAGACTCGTTTATAATCTCTCTTTCTCCCTCCCTTTTACTTCCTCTCTGTCCTCCCATCACCCTGCTGCCCTCTCTTCCACTATATGCCTCCCTCCTTCTTCGCCGCTTTCCCCATCCATCACTAGTTTTGCCATCTCTCGTTTTTATTCAGCCATCTCCTTTCTCTCTCTCCCTCTCTCTCTTTTTGTTGTCCATTTTCCTTCTTTTTGGCCTCAAACCATCTGAGCCCTCTCCCCTCCCACCACTCTTCTTTACATTGTGAATCAAGGCATGGCCACTCTTTTAATAAACTACATCGATGAGAAATTCCTACGCATTCTCTCAGATCCCTCGAAACTCCGTTATATAGCTTACAGCTAAGAGTTCCTTAAGATGTATCTACTGTATATTTGGGCCATCCACTGCCAAGAAAGGGCTTTTAGTATACTGTCACCACATTATATAATGTTTCATAAGAGTTATGGTGTTTACAAAAGACACCCTGAATATTTGGGCTTCTGGATGTCTGCTTATAAGTCATCTTTAAAATCCTCTGCAGATGAAAGTCTTTCGGGAGGAGAGCGCAATTAAATGAAATTTCAGACTTTGCAGCAATCACTTAAAGGCACAGGTGGCAGAACTGATCAAAATGACAGTGGATGGCGTGTGCATTTCCACGATATTACTTCCCCGTGCTGGTTAGAGAGGGAGATGTAGATAGTTGCGCGCTGTGGCACTGGCAGCAGTCGTGGTGGCAGGGCCCTATATGATATTATTTCTGCCCTGCCTGACTGAGCTAAATGAGTTCCGTGTAATAACCGGCTCTGTGTGCAAACAGCCCCGCGTGATGGCTGAAGCCACAGCCTGAGCATCCATTTCTAGATCTTTCCCTCTCCTTTCAATCTCTCCCTTTCATTCCCTCACTCGCTCATTTGTGTGGCATCGCGCGTGTGTACGGAGGTAGACAGGAAGGCACACAAACACGCACACACTGTTGCACTCTCTCATTTCCTCTCTTACTCTCAGTTTTTTTCTTCACCCGTATGGGAGTAAGCCTGAGGTCTGATGTTTTTAAGGGTATTTCTTTTTCCGACTTATTCCTTTCATCATCCCCTTATTTAGACTTTCTATCTGTTTTACTTTTTTTATGAAGACAGGAGAGAGAGAAACACACACACAGAGTGTGTGAGAGAGAGAGCGAGAAAGAGAGAGACATAGATAAGTATTTTTAGCTCTATGACCTATTTCTCCAGTGCTACCTAACTGACTGTCAGTCAGCTGCACTGCTTTGGGACTTTGCGTGATTTCCAGCTAGGGAATTTGGAATTTGTAGTTCTGTTTGGTTGGAACTTGAAGTCCAAACTAAAGGCGTGGTAGGAAAGGAACAGAATATATTAAGCCTCTAGTCTCCTCAACATTATTTCTTCTCTCTTGTCAGTCCCCATTTATATTATTCCCAGTGTCTGTGCTCGTCCACTGGTTCCCTATCAGGAGTTGTTGAGGGAGGAGTCAACAAAAAACCCCAGTGCCTGCTTTCCTCTGCAGCACTTTAATAAGGATGCACAGTGGTGTGGGGAAGTGGGGGTCTGTAGGTTTGGTGGGGTGGGCTGGGGGCCACTAATAAACACACACACGTAGCCACACATGCAGACACACGTGCGCACCCAGATACAGAGGTAGGGAATCCATCGCCTTAATAAGAGGCCAAGTGCAGTGGTGATAAATCTCACCTGAAGGAGCTGTTCACAGGCAGATTGCCTTACCCTGATGTACTGCCCTCAATGCACACTGCAGCCAGTTATAGGCTATATACACCCACCCACGCGCGGGGATGTATGCGCACGCAAACACAAACAATCAGCGCGCATAAACAGGCACGCACGAGCGATAGCCGCACGCATATGTAGAGACAAACAAACGCAAGCGGCAATCGTGAACAGACACATGGACATGGTGGGCCTGTGATTCACAGATTTAGAGGGTTTCTCGGAGAACCACACCCAGCGGACAAGCAGGCAGACGCACAACTCTTCATTAAAATCGCATGCAGCAGGTAACACAAAGCGCTGACAGAAACGACACGATCTGTTGCACGGCCCTGCCTGTTTCTGCCTCCCTCCGTCAGATCTCTCGTCATGTTCAAATATGCAAACAGTCAGTTGCAGACACACACACAAACACTCGTGCACATACACACATGGCCATACCCAGTGCTGTGACAGCCATTCGAGGAAACTGACGCTTTCCAGCTGGTAGCGTGGCAGACGTCCGCTCCTGCACAGACACAGCCACACTCACACTCCTGTCTGTCCATCTGTCTGTCTGTCACTGTCAAACTGAATGTGCGGCCTCTTTGTCTTTTTCTGACTGGCGTGCACGCTCTCAGTCACACACACACACACACACACACACACACACACACACACACACACACACACACACACACACACACACACACACACACACACACGTTTTCATTAACCTGCATACAGGAGTAGGACTGCATTAGTGCATGCACTCCAAATGTATGTGTCTCACTCTTCAACCCAATTTTTTTTTACTCTTGATCTGCGTTTGCCAGACCACATCTCTCTACAATACTTCATCAATATGCA